GATGGGCTGCCCGACTCCGTCATGTGTACAGCTGCCTGCTTCAAAAAAAAAAGACTACTACGCTGAGCTACTCCCAGTAGGATGCCCCACAGATCGGCGTTGCTTTAGCTTGCTGGCGGTCCCCGACGATTTGGTTCGGCGATCTGTATGTCCAGACTTCGCAAGACGGGGCAGGTGCCGCTAGCAACATCCGGCAACACTGTTGTCAAGATCGTCCAACAGGAATGTGGCATCGCTTCCAACGAGGAAAATACGCCTGCGTACAGCTGTGCTTCCGGCCCCGCCCCGCAGGCATCGACGCACTCGGGGTTTCATGGATTCGATACGCTTGCATTATATGTCCGAAAAATCAAGTCAGACTCATGCCAAGGTAAAAGATCCGTTAAAAAAATCAAGATCAGACCAATTGAAAAATACGAAATAACTTTTACTTTTTTTTACTTAGCAAAATGTGTGCGGCAGGCGGAAAAGTCAGGAAAACGATGGCGAGGGGCAAACCTCGCGCCGAGCGAGGGTTTCTTGTGCTGGGCATTCCAATCGGCCGTGGTGGCGTAGCCGCATTGCTGAATAGGCCGGTGCAGACGGAGCTTCGGACGCCTGATTCATGCTGCGGAAAGGTCTCCTGGAGTTGCCGTGTGTTGAAAACCTCAGCGGCGGCCTGGCCCGCTTCCATAGCCACCATAGCGCGAGACGCAGTGTAGGTAGGAGGTTTCGAGACGGACTTCAGGCGGGTGGAAAAACCGGAAAAAGGCGTGAGGAAAAACTGAATCTGGGATGCGTCGCTTGTCGCTGCGGTGGCGATGGTTGAGGAGCGCTGCTGGCATTTAGGACCACAGCATGGAAGCCAATTTGGGAAACTGCGGGTTGGATCCAGAGGGTGCGAGGCTCATATCGGCCCCGGTTTGACTTCCGTTGAATATGGGGCATAACAAAAGGTTGTGCTGCAATGTGTTCGCATATTGCTTGTGCAATCTTTTGGTCATCACGCCAGCACATGGATTGCGGGGAGGCGTTCGTCGAACATTCGTGGCGAATCTGGGCCAACCAGCTTGTGCTGCAAGACTTGAAGCGAAAAGAACGCATGTGGCTTCATGTCGTGCGGCGGCATCCAATAGGTGCAGGGGCATGTCTGACAGGCAGAGATATTTCGGCTTAAAAGAAAGATATTTCGGCTTTGGGAGGTGCGCGACTTCGGCATCTGCTTGTTCGATGCAGCTGACGCAGATGAAGGTGATCAAATGCGACAACTGAAGGATTCAATTCGTTCTCCGGAGATGTTGCTGCAGAAAGCTAAAGGGCCTACCATATAGCAGCCACATGGGGCGGTTTTACCCATCAAACATTGGTAGGGCCAGCCTGACGAAATTAACATGGGTTATGTTCCAGGGCATGCCCAAGCTGTGGCATATGCACAATCAGACAAACATCAGCAGCTTGCATGCGCGTAGTTTCAAAGTTCAGCGATGCCGGGCCGCCCCAACCCGCCACCGTTGCCTGCTTGTGGTTACGTGGTCAATGCAACCAAGAAAGGCGCCAACCATCGATGTCGGCAATGTAAAGCAGGAACATTGGCCGTAGTCTTGCAGGCGGCCTGCCCATCAAAGTGGAGTCGCGAGCCAAGGGCAAGAAGGCCAAGGAAGTGTCGCGAAAGCAAAGCACCGTGCACGTGATGCATATGCCGTGATTCAGGTGACGATCATCTCCGGTGTTCAAGGTGATGCACAGCTGCTTCCTCAAAGGGCTTGCTGTCTGTCTGTGTGTGTGTGTGTGCGCGTGCAGGGTGTGCGTTGACAGTGGTTTCAGCGGGATCGTCGTGTTGCAGGTCTCTCGTATCGGCGCTTGGCAGCTTACTGGGCTGCGGCGGAAGTGTTTGCCATGCAGCGGGCCAAACGCAGGTGCTGGTCCAAGGCCACATCGGGTTCACAGGGTTTGGGATAAATGCAGGTGCGTCCTTGGCTTGTGGGAATCAGCTTTCAACTTTCGTCTACGTGTCCTTCGACGGCTGTTGCGCTTCGGACGTGTTCAGGTGACCAGACCGAACGCATCGGCGGTTCCTTGGAGCAGCTTGGGTGCCTCCGGGGAATGGCAAAGGCACTTCAGAAGAAGAAGTCTGTCGAGGCCCGATCCCTTTCTATTGGTACTTGTAGCTGTCACTTACTTTTTGGGCTCTTATTTCCGTCTAGCGAGGTAGTGTCGCGGTGTCCAAGTTGTGCAGGTCACAGCCACGCGCTTGTGTGCCTATGACAAGTTCCTCCGACAAGGAGATGACAAGCAAAGCTTGGCCCAGAAACTGCAGCAGGAAGCACATGCCCCTCAGACCCTTCCCGGTGCAGAGTGTGTCTCGGCCGCATCAGCTTTCAAGATGATGGCGACATGATGTGACATGAACGCGTCGGAGGTTTCCGGTGGCATGGTCCCTGGGTCTACTGCCGCGGCTGCTGCGAGCAAACAGATTTGAGCGATGTGTGGGAGGAGCGTTTGGATGGCACGATGGCGATGGAATCTCTCGACAGTGACTTGCGTGCACGGCTGCCTTCCCTGATTCAACCGTAAAATGGAATTTGCGTAAATTTGCGTAATGGTGAACAATCGTGAGCAGCCCTGAGGCATGCACGCCCTCGACATGCCCGTGGTTTGGACGACGGCGGCTGGGCTTGACGCCGTTCTTCGCAAGCTGGGCATGGTGGCCGAAGTTGGGGAGGCTGCGCAGACTTGGGGCTTGCGGTCCTCCAATGCCAGCGAAGCATGGAAAGGCCTCACGCTGGCAGAGTACCGGCGCAAGGCCGTGGCTCCAGGGGCCAGACTGCTGGAATACCCGGCTCCTTCTGGCAGGGCCAAGCCGTCAGGGGCTCCCAGTGTGCGGGCACAAAGAGCAGGCGAGAAACTACGACTGCGACCGGCAAGGCCGATGAAGCCTCCGCAGGAGCAGGGCCGCTTTGCCTGCCCGACATGTGGCCACAACTTTAGCCTGCGCTTGACTCTGAAGCAGCACATGATGTTGTCCCATGGCGAGAAATTGGTGGGCCCGGTCCCGAACCTCTTGAACGTCAAGGAGCCGCCAGCCCGACCCAGGGTGCCAGCGCCTCCTCGACCGCAAATCCTGCCAAAGCCACCAGCAAAGAAGTCGCAGTCAGTGAAGGGCCAGGGCCCACCCCAAGCCGTGCAAGACAGCCAGAGAGCCATGGATTTGACACCATCTGAGCAAAGTCAGCTGGAGGAGCTCGAATCGCACAGAGAGTGCCCCATATGTGCCTCGGTTTTTCAAACTTTAGTCCTTTCACTTTGTTTGCTTGGCCGTCTTCTACTCTACCGGACTCTACCAATTCTGTCTATCTCTTTGCTTGTACTGCCTATCTCTTTTTGCGCTTTTCATGTCCATCTTGTCCGCAAGCCCACACGGTGTCCTCTTTGCTTGTTGCGTGCTGGCCTGGCCTCTCTTCTTCTCCTTTCCTTCTCGCTCTCCCTCTTCCTCGTGCTTTTAGTCCCGCCAGGTGTTGCATCTTGCGTAGTTTACGTAGTTGCTTGGGCTCCACCCCAATGCCCAAGGCAAGAACTATGTTGTGGGCGAGCCTTTGCATGAGCACGTGGACAAGTGCTTGTCCGCTCTGCAGGCAATTTCCTTCAGCAGTTGCCAGTAAGCTGAGTGTCTTCAAAGTTCGATGTTCTCCAGGCAATCATGCACCGCAGTTTTCCCAACACCGTCACCTCCGTTATACCTCTTGCCACTTGCCTCCCCTCGAATATGGAAAACCTAAATCGGAGCGCACCTAGCCCGTGCTGCCGCATCATGAGTCCACGAGGATCCTGGCATCCAGTTCCTTCCCTGTTCGACTTGACCCTGACAGGCTGTTGCCGGATCATATGCCTGGACAGAGTGTCCCATTTGCTTTGTGCCCATGCCGCAAAGAGGCTTGCATTGATGGTTTTTGATGCAGGAAATGCAAAAAAAAAGTGGCCGGAGGTGAAGGAAATGGGTTGGTTTTCTTGCAGTGAAGCTTCAAAATTCAAAAAGTTGAATTTGGGCTCTTCTCTGCCTTGAGGGGGCTTAGAGATCCAAACCCTAAACCCTAAACCCTAAACCAAGGAGCGAGTGCACCCAGACCTCCTCCAGTCGCACGTGGAGCGCTGCCTTACGGCCGAAGAGCCTTCCGACACGGACAGTGAGTCCCAAAACAGCGGCGCAGAGAACGATGCAGAGAAGCAAGATATCTGGAACACCTGCCCTCTCTGTGAAGCTGCTGGGGTTTGCAAAAATGTTTCAAGAATGCGTTCCGCTTTTTTTTGTTCATTTTGGCGTGTCGTGGCCAGGTAGGTGGTTGCACACCACCCGAAGAAGCTGACCCAAAAGGGTCCATGGAGTTTTCCAAAACCTCCCTTTATCGAGAAGCTGCTTCTCTGCCTTTGCCGAGTTTTTGCCGAGGAGAGCTTCCACCAGGACGTGATTGCCGCCCACGTCGAGAGCTGCATCGCTGCCTACCAGGCAGGGTCAGCCCAGCCTCGCGGACTTAAAGCCGAAAGACCCAGGAAGCTGCGATCCAAAGCCCAGTGACTCACAGGAGGCCCAAACCCCGAAGCCCCAAGCTTCCCCAAGCCAGAAACCCCCTTGTCGGAGTCGAAACCCTCAGGGAAAAGAAGCTGCCCCACCCTGCTTCGCCACTCGTTCAGCTATGCAGGAGGCAACAAACACTGCCCACGCCCTAAACCCTAAACCCTAAACCCTAAACCCTGAACCCCAAACCCTGAACCCTAAACCCTAAACCCCTAATACCCTTAAAGCTCTCGGCCCCAAGGCCGCAAGCTGCCCCCAAAATCTGAGAGATCTCAGCCCTGCGGCTCGGTTTTGAGAGTCCAGGCAGCCGAGGACCAGGAGCGCGGCGAGAGCGAGGAAGGCGCTTCCCCTTTGGTTCCGTTGAAGCCTTGGAGATCCGCTCTAGTGCAGAGCCACGGTTCTGCTCAAACAAGGGTTTTAGGATTTTGGGGTTTTGGGTTTAGGGTTCGCGGCATGATCGACTCGAGTCCGTGTGAGAGAGAGAGAGGGTTTAGGGTTTAGGCTAGTAGCGTAGAAACCTGATTAAGAAACCCTGGGCCCATTACCCCAAAATAGTCATAGTCATAGTAAGGAACCCAAATAAAGAACCGAGGTTTCTTCCTGAGGTTCCCATATGACCTGGAGTTTTTCAGCTGAGAGCTTAAGGCTTAGGGCCTGCAGGGCCTAGGGGTTTCGATGAGGTTTTTGCAGGGTTCTCTGAGAGTTTGTAGGAGGGTCTTCTAGGGTTTTACGGGTGACAGATCCGAAGCACGGGATGACGGGGGGGGGGGGGACGCCGGCTGCAAACTGCAGGCTCACCGCCCATGGGCGAAGACCCGGAAGCCTTCCGCGCTCATGAAGAGCCTCTGCTGCTGAGAGGCCGATGGTTGCTAGGGTTTCTCGAGTTCTAACCCCCAAGCCACCCTCGCAAAAAGCAACCTGTCCTTTGGGATTTGGGAGCAAAAGGGCCAAACGGGATCGGGTTCAGGGGAGGACATGTGACACAGGGCCCTGAATGCCCAGAAATAGGATCATGTCAGGTTCCAGTACATTAGAGTACTCATGAGAGTATATATAATCTGCACTACAACTTTCAGTCCTGGTTTTAAACTGTTAAACTGCGTTTGGGCTTCCTGCCAGCGGCCTCTTGTAGGTCTGCCGGTCTGCAGCGTGGTACGTGGCTACGACCCGCGAGGCCGCCCTTCGCAAGCCAAGAGCTTTGAGAGTCCAGACCTCTATTGTGTAAACCCTAGGCCCTGCTGTTGACGAGACCAGTATCGACCACAGATTTCGCGCCAAGTAGAGCTACATGTCCGGTGCAAGTAGAGGGGCGACTTTGCTTCTGGTGTAGAGGGTCAAAGAGGTAGGCAGGGTCAAGGGTTTAGTTGGAATCTCGAAGTTCAACCAAGCTCGCCTTGACTCCTACGTAGCAGCTTTTTTCTCCATCAGGACTGTTCTGCAGGGGTCCTTCCTAGGCGTGCACCTCTATCAAACCTTCCTTACCTTGAGCTCCTTCACCCTTGGATGTTTCCGAAGAGGCCCTATATAACCCTGAAACCTGAACCCCCATCTGTCGCCCAGGGGAGCACCAGATGGAGATGGTAGCAGGGGAAGAGTTCGCACTTGACTGGGAGCAGCCATTCGAGGCCCTTCTTGCTCTTGTGGTGGTCCCTTCAAGGTTTTGGTTTTGCTTTTGGGGTTAGCGGGGTGTTCGGCCTGAAGAGTTTGGGATTTACGGTGCCTTGTCAGGAGGGCGGATACTGGGCCTGGGGCTGGCGCCTTTTCCATGGAGATGATGGCTACACGCCACTGGAATGCGGCTTCTTGTCTGCACATCTGTAGCCGAGCATCATGCAGGAGTTTCTTGCCCTTGGCCAATAGTGGTAAAAGATGAACCGCTGGCAGTTCTGTCGAACTTCGTTTCATCACGTATCTCGCGGGCAGGATATGTTCCGCTGTCGCACATCAAGACCAAGTTTGGCATCAAGCAGCCCATGCTTGCGGCTTCGCCGAAGGCGGGGCAACCGGCACACCGAAACACCGACACTCAGTTCTTCAACGAAGATTTGGCGGCTGAATTGTTGCGGTAAAGAGACTGGTCGACATGGCGCGTCAGCCTTGCTGCCCAGGTGAGCCCGGCTGTGGAGAGCGCGTCCCCACAGCCCTTGGCACCCCGGCGCTATCAGACTCAGCCTTGAGCCACAACGCTTTGGATGCCGGCCCCGGGACCCTTCACGCCTCCATGCTGCTGAGCCTTGCAAGGCCGCAAGGTGCGACGTGGAAGTCGGCCTGGCTTGCGAAGGCCTCCTGTGCTGGGGTGGTAAAACACGCCAGGCCTGCAGTAGAGCAGTAGACTCTTTCGGTGGCCTCGTGGCAGGCCCCGATTCATCGCCCGGAAAGTTGCCGACATCCACTGACGAGCGTGAGATTGATGGTGGGGCGTTTGCAAGCAGAACGCCCGCCCTTAAGAGACATAGTCATCATTTCGCGTCCGCCGATCATGAGCTTCCAAAAAAAGCATGAGTCAGCCATACTACCGTTCAGAGTCAGATTCGCATTCGGACTGCACCAAATGTTTGCGGGGATCGGAAGCACCCGAAAACTCGTCACATCACATCATGTTCGTGATCATGACATGACCATGAGAATCGTGCAGCATCGGCCCCAAAGCTTGATTCTGGCATCTGTTTTCTTGCCAGGCCTGCCCGTCTGTGTGGTGGTGCGCCCCTGCCGGCCGAGGGGGCCCCACCAGCTGGAGTTTCCAAGCTGCGATGCCTGACGCCTTGAGTTCCATTGCGGAGGTTTTGCGTTTTGCTGGGCCTGCTTTGGGTCGTAGGGGTGCCGGAATGCCCTCCCTCGGAGCTTCAGGCCCGAGCCCCAACTCCAAACCCGACCCCAGAGACTGAGACTTGACGCTTCTCCGGCGCCCGAGATCCCCAGTGCAACAGAAAACCGAGAAAACCCCAAGGCCCCCAATCCTTCCTGCCTGGAGTCTGAGCGCCGAAATCCTTCCTGCATTGCCCCAACCCTGTAGGCTGTAAACCCTGAAACCTTGCTTTCTCTCTCTTGGGCACTGGACCTTGCAAGGCTTTCGGAGGGGGATGAGTTCGCCCTGGAGTGGGAGCAGCCGGTACAGGCACCGGAAAGTGGGCCCCAAGCCCAAAAGCCTCTGTCTAGTATGGGTATATGGGTAGTTCTCTAAATTGGGTCCCTTTGTGCCCTTTTAGGGTCCGTTTTCTAAGGGTGCCGTACTATGTTGGGGACCCAAAAAGGGACCCTAGTTTAGAAAACCACCCATATGATATGGGGACTAGAACGAGGTACTACGACTAATGATTCTGACCCCTATTCGGCCATTGCGAGGGCCGATGGCTCTGCCAAAGAACCCCTTGCCTTAGCGCCGAGTTGCTTGGAGTTTAGAGGCTCGCAGCTCAGTTCCACATCCTGAGTCGCCTCTTACTTCCGTTCGCGGCGGTGCCACAACGGAAATTTGCAGTACCAAGCCCTAGTGAATGCACTCGGATCCTCCTCTGGGGTCCCCTAACAGCTCCGTATTCTACGAAGGCTCCCGGCAGGGAAAAGGGGACACGATGGCCTCCCGACCTCCGACATCCCGGACCCTCCCCAAGCCAGAGGAGGGAGGCTACTGGGCCTGGGGCTGGCCTCTGCCAGCAAAGGAGGGATCCCGGAGGCCTGGGGTTGTTAAGGGCGGGGGTCGGGTGCAAGTCAGGGGGGTTTTGGCAGAGATGCTGCCCTTACTGTTTCTAGGGGCTTGGGCCCTGGGCGCCACGGTCGACAGTGCCATGTTCTCTTGGGTTGACTTCAAAGCTCGGACTTTGTTGTGGCCACAGCAGCCACACCCAATGTGCTGCCCAGGCCTGTCTCGCCAATATATGGTCGACCATCTCCCGACCATACCTGAACTGCAGTCGCTTTTGCCCCCTTGCTCCCAATCCCTAAACCCTATAAACCCTAAACCCCAACTTGTTCACGCACCGGAGCTCCCGGGACTTGGCAGGCCATTGTCTGCTGGTGGCTTGACTCCATGCAAGAGGGGTGTCATGAGGGAAGAGCAGACGACGCCGGCTCCCCGTCAGGCCCCTGATTCTGATAGTTTAAGTTCCCATCCTCCACCAGCTTCGGAATTCCGACTGCCCAGCCTCACACCTCGAAAGGCTCGTGCCTTGGGATCTATATGAATGCCAGAGCAAAGCACAGAGAGCGAGCCAAGCAGCCCACGACCCGGAAACCCAAAACTAAGGATACGTGGCACGTTCCCACCTCGTCCTGAAGTCGGCGAAAGATGCCGCAGCTACCTGCGCTGCACTGCCGGCGCCGGCTTCCGAGCCAGAAGCTCCTCGGGCTGAAGAGTACGTGGGGTTTCCAAAGTCTGCGGATCTGAGGCCTTGTCGTGACGCTTCTCCCAACAATTCCAGGTTCAGATCTCTCAAGCGCCTGCGGAGACCGTGCAGGCTGAGCCCGAGGTATCTTGGGCGCATGTTGGATGGAGAATTAGGAATTCGGATTTCTGCGGAATCGGAACACCACGAAAAAGAGCAAAAAAGATCCAGGGCGCCGTCCATCCAGTCCAAAACTTGAGCCCTCTTTAGCCCCAAGCCGTGAACCCTGTTTTGAGTGATGATTCCCTACAGATCACACAATTAGCTGCCCAGGGTCACCCCCGACCATCTCGACTGTAGTCACCGAGATTCTCTATTGAGCGTTTGCGCCGAAACCCTGGTCTTGAAAGGTCAAGCAGCGAAGACGCTGGGGGCGAGCGCAGGCTCGAAGCCTTTCCTTTCGGTGCCCTTGTCTGTCAAAACTCCGGGACCGCTACATTTGCGGGTTGTTTCGATTTGTTTTTTGAGCATGTCTCAACCCACCGAAGCCCTTAGCCGCCAACCCCTCCTTGCTCTTCGGGGGTTGCTGGCATCAGGTGGGAGGCAGCAAAAGGATAGATACACTAGATAGATAGGTAGATAGATAGATGGGTAGATAGTATATGGAGTATGTATGTATGTATGTATGTATGTATGTATATATATATATATCTACCTATCTACCTATCTTTCTATCTATCGAAGTGGATGTAGTCCTTGCCAGGCTTCTTGAAGCTGCCGCTCCTGAGGGAATCGCCGAAACGACCCTGTCTGGTGCAGCGATGCTCGTGAAGGGAGCCTTACCACACGACGAGCATGTTTGAAGCCGGGTGTATTTGGGCTGGGCAACTTAAATTGAGCATCTTGGTTCAAGTCGCGTGGTGCCGGTGCCCATTGCCAGATGCGCAAACACATGACAATGAGAGATCACAACGTTGAATTTCAGCATGATGGAGCCTCGTTAAATGCATTGTTTAGAAGTTTAGACGGTGAGACAGAGATCTCTTGCAAATTTTCTTCCTGTCTGCCCCGGCAGCAAGGGCAACGCCCTAGCTGTGAATGCTGACAGCGGACCACTTGTTTGTGTGGTTTTCCCAGGCTCCACTGGACAGTCCGGCAGAGACGCTTGATTTTGCCAGCTCGTGCCTGCGCGGCACGTCGGTTTCACCGGGTGGGAGTGTACAGTGTATAGCGATTGCGGGGAGGTGACGGGCAGGAGGCTGCGATGCGCATCACTCCTGCGGCGCTGTGCTGCGCGCAGAGAAGGAGCTGCAGCTGTCAGCTGGACCTATCTATATATGTATATATATATATATAAAGATATATTAAGATATATTAAGGGTAAGCCAGGAAGAAGGACGGACAAGACTCGCGAGCGGGTCACAATTTCCTGTCGACCTCGCCCGACCGAAAAGCCACCCAAAGAAGGCAGGTTGCGGACAGCCCGTGAAAACGCCGGCCGATTTCCAGTACTGAAGCGGTGGTAGGCCGCCGAGGAACCTGCGGAGCTCTTCATGGTGTCTTCTTTATGCTTGCGGTGGGTGTTTCTAGCTGCAAGTTCTGAGGTCAAGTCGCGAAAACAGCAGCAACAAACATTTCGTGACAGTCACGAAGATGACGACCGCAAGAAAGAGAAGTACGAACCGAATGCAGCAAGAGCAACAGCAGAGGTTTCAGGGTAGGCTCTACCATTCATGGCGCAATGGCACCATGGGTTGGGCCCTTCGCCCTTCTGTGCACGCGATTATTGGTGGCCGCCCCGGAAGTTTCCCAGGAGGCCGGACCCAACTGAGAAATTAGTAGCGAGAGGCTTTTTTGTTTCGCCAAGGGCCTCTGGCAGCTGTACTGCTCCACTTCAGAGGAAAGGGCGCTTCAGCCTCTAGGTTTTCAAGGGTCTCTCATAGTATCCGACCCCCTACCGCCGTCACCCATTGTTCGGCCCCGTCATGATGCCCTCCATGGCCGCTGAAAACAATCACTGTGCAGGTGTAGGGTACCTCCCTAAACCCTAAACCTAAACCCCAGCATGCAGTGCCATACGAGTCGATGGAGGTGGCGATGAAGGCAGTGGTCGATGGTGTAGTCAGGGCCTTCCGCTAAAGCGGATTCTACTGAGCTGGGATTGGCAAGGTGGAAAAGGTGCTCAAAAAAAACCCTTCGCCCTGTACCAGACATCCTCGCCTAGGCTTGACCGAGTGTGAGTGCTGAAACCCTAAACCCGAAACCCTGCAAGCCTTAAGCTTCTCCCGATAAGACAGAGAGAGCTGCAAGAACGACTCCGGAGCATGAACGGCTCCAGAGTCGAGGCTTCCTTCAGTTCACACGAGCTCGACACTCTACAGAACTCTCATAGCACCCTACAAGAACCTCCATCCCGTGCCCTTACCGAACCCTTATAGAAGGCTTTATGGAGCCTTTATGAAACCCTTAGAGTCTTAGAGACTTTGAAGGCAATTCGGAAGCTCGCGGGCGATTTGTCGCCCAACCTGTCTGCGGAATTGCGACTCGGTGTTGAGTAGAGTGAGTGATATGCGAAGTAGCAATTATTCTTATGGGGGAATTCTACTCCTATAACAACAAGAAGGGGGAAACCTGATCCCAGAGTTTTCTTGGAAGCTGGGCAAGCAAGACCTTGCGGATCCTTTGGTTGCTGAGCACGGCCAAGTTTCCCGTCGCAATCGGTTCCCCCTTTCTTTTGGCGTAAAGCTTCGCGGCTGAAGCTGAATCCAAGGCAAGATCGAGTGGAGTCTGTCCTTATTTACCACTTCCGGAGCAAGCACTTCCTGGATGTTCAAGCATCGCTGCCCGGAGAGTTAGCCACGTGGCCGAAGTGGGACGGCTGGCAGGCTTCCTTCAGCTTTGGGCAGAGCCTCTATTTTGAAGACACTCTCGCGATGCATACACCATGCACTGCATTTTCCAA